GTTCTGAGCGGGGAAAGGAGTTAGTGCCATGGGGGTAAACACAGCAGATTAGCTGAAACTCAATATAATGAAACATCCAAGCCCCAAGTGGGACCTCTGTGCACAGCTGCAAGCCGCCCGCAGGCAGACCTATCGAAGGAAAGGAAGTTAACTGATAGCAGATTAAGCATCTCTTCTCCCTCTCCAGCCTCGCTAAAGTCAAGAAAGCTTTATGAAAGTCTTAATCCACAAGGGCAAAAGAGCAGAAGAGGATTCAGGGATGGACAAGGTTGTTAAACAAAGTATTCAGAGGTGGGAAGCAGGTGGAAGAGTGTAACTAAGCAGAGGGAGGAGTTAGACAGGAAATGAGCGAGTCCTCAGAGACTCAGTACTTGTGGGCAGCAGGAAGGCAGGAGGAGAGGTGAAAACTGGGTAAAGCTTCCACACAGAAGAATGGGATACCCAGGTCCCCAGTCAAGCCCCATACATCTTGGCTACCTCCCCTCTGCCAGCTGCAGGAGACCAGGGGTCAAGTGAAGCCCCAGGCTCAGGGACTGGAGTCAGAGCAGAGGACTGAGGGTAGAGAAAAGGTCAAGTCAGTGACCAGGACTCTGAGAGCCCCACTCCCTCCTGCTCCTTGTTACCAGGAAGCCTACAGGCAGGTTACTGGCTCAGGTACAGTCTTCCCCTCAGGCAGGGAACAGAGGGGTCACCTCTGGAGAAACTGGTCACCCGAGAGAAAAGGCCTCTAAACAGGGCCATTGAAGGCCCCCATGAAAAGGCCCACTTGCCAACTAATCCCCTTATAGCAAAGACCAGCAGGCAAGAGACCACTCATGAGTGTCCTTCTCTGAAATCTGGAGCCAAAAAAAAATTTTGAGTAAGGAATTGTTCTTTAGCTCCTTCTCCGACTGCGCTCACTCTTTCCTGTCTAATGGTTTTGCAGCTGCCATGTCGTGTCCTGCTGGGCTTCCATCCAAGAGCCTGGGCTTTGAGTGCAGTTTGGGACTGTGGCCTGGGGTGACCTGGGAAAGTCATAGATTCAGGTCAGAACCAGGGAGATGGTTTGGCTTGATGAGTTTCTGCCTCCTTGGGTCTCCCATCTTTCTCAGAGCCATAGCTGGGTACACAATGGTGCCCACCCCCCATCTATCATGGAGGATAATGAGACCCCTTGCTCCAGAGCAGCGGAACTCTGCCACCACTGCCAGGCTGTAGGTGCAGCAGGCCCACAGCTTCAGTCTCGCTCAGCGCTTTGCATCTTTGTTTTATTTCTAACACATGAACTTATTCATATTTGAACCAGTCTTTTTCCACCCCCTTCTCTCTTTTTATATTTTATCTTCTCTTTTCATATTATGTGTTTGGAGCAGAGAAGCTGATCAAGTCATGAGTTCATGGTGCCACCTTGACAGAGCCCCATATTTTGGTTTCTAGGAGTATTTTACACCAAAAAGAACCAGTGCTCCTAGGGAAGTAGTTGATTTTAGGCAAGAGAACTAGAGTTGGGACTGGAATATCATGCAGACATTCAAAGACATCCAGAGGGGTGACAAGAGAGTCGAACTGAAGGGGTCAAAATTGTGATAAGCATTAAAAAGAGAACAGTAATTACTGTCACTAGGACCAGCTGAGTTGGAGTTAGGCCCTGAGTCCATGATGATGCTCAAAAGGTAGAAATAAGAGAACATGTGCCAAGGAAAAGTCACATGCTCCAATCTGAGTCAGCTGATTGGGGCTTGACTTGTGCACCATGGACCTCAGGAAACTGAGCTTGTGGCTGTAGAACTCGAACCAGCCTCAGGATCAGAGGAACCTGGAGAAAGGCATATTTAAAATTATATTCTTGGGGAAGACTGTAGGGAAGTGAGCTGGGGGTAATAACTTAGGGCACTGACTCCATTTTCTTCCCCAAGATGAGGCTAGAACCTTGTTGCTGCTTAGTTTGGCTCAAAAACAAGAAGAACCTGCTATTTGTAAGCATTCCTCTGAATGGAAGATCTTTAGTGTAAGTTTTTAGAGAAAGGTGATGTGAGTCCCAATATAGAAGGGCAGCTCGGTAGCAAGAACTGAGCTTTCCAGAATCAGTGAGGTCCCAACTGACACTAAGTCCTGTGGGCACTTGGAAGCCCCACTGGGGGACCTTGGGTGACAAAGGAAGTCCTATCTGCTCTTCACTCCCAAAATAATTTTATAGCTTTGGTTAATTTTATCAGGAACTAATTACAGCCCACAGGGTGGGGAGTCTTCCTGCCTACTAATTTAACTTGCAACACTTCAGAGTAAGAAAAAAATGAGGATATAATAAAAGCAAAGATCGGTAATTAAAACCCCTAGGGTGACAGAGCTGTATGAGGAAGAAATAGTTGTACTGCGTTATACTACTTACTTCTGGGTAAACAGCAATTATATAATCACAGTAATGTAAACAATTTTGTTGCTTTCAGTTTTCTGAATAAACTTTCAGAAAAAGTAGACTTCACTATAGAACATACTCGGTTAAAACAACAACAACACTTTGATCACGTAAAAGTCAAAGGGCAGATGCCCAGAGTTACGAGACGGAAAACTGACAGAAGAATTGGAAGGACAGACAGGGAGCTCACAGATTCACAGGGTGGGGTGGCAAGGGGTCCTGTCCATTACCAAGGCTGGTAAAACAAGAACCTTTTTGAAGGGCAACTGAGCGGAATCTGTTGGGATTTTTAAAGTTTATCTGGAAGGATCCAAAAGAGGCCAGCAACAATGGTTGCCTCTAGAAGGTGATCAGAATGGCTGAGGAACAAAAGAGGGGGTTTCCTTTTGGATCCTTCCTATCTGGAATTTTAAACCTTTATAAAAATTTTTTTTACCTAAAAATAAAGGTGGATAACCAACAATCCAACTCCAGGACTGCCCCCTCCTGGAAGAGCAGCATTGGTGCACAAGACCTGGCTGAGAGCAGTCACAAGCAAACTGGGGGACACAAATGCAGTGCCCGTTAGGACAAAGGCAGGTGTGTTACAGAACGACCACGACAGGGAATATCACACAGTAAAGAATTCATTGGACCTATGTTGACAAACATGGAAAAGTGTCCCTAGTATCTCATTTAATAAGATGAGTTGTTCAACATGTGTTAAGATCTCATTTCTGATATATGTTTAAATTATATGTATATATGATTTTCACACACGACAGTCTGGAAGGACAGCAAATGGAATGGCAGTTACTTCTGGGGATAAGACAGTAGAGAACAGTTTCCACTTGTGATGTCTTATTTGAATTTTTGATGAGACGTCTGTATAGTGTATAGATAATTTCCTCAAAGTATAGCATTGCCCTGTCAAGGGAAAAAAGGCTTTGGAGCTGGGGGGTGGTGAATTCAGGCGATGAACTCTGGGGTGGAGGTGCTCTGCACATCTCTGCCTCCCTCGGAAAGCAGCCCAATGAGAGCAAAGCTTGATCCAGGACAAACTCATTTCACGTCTGATGCATCAAGACCACACTGATGGGTCCCATCTGAACCTTTAAATGTTCAAAAAAGTGGGTGGCAAGCCCTTGTTTGACCATGAGTTCAAGATTGGAGAGTGCCTCTAACATCAGGAACTCAAGGAACCCCAGGAAATGTTTCTCAAATGAGTATCTGCTCAGAACACTATTCCCAGGACCTCATTCCCGAAGCCTGTCCAACCTGCAGCCTCAGCCGTTAGTGCTCTGGCCCCATGGCAACTGCTCAAAGAAATCCAGGCCACAAGGGTGCTGTGAGGCCAGTGACCGAGGGCTGAGGCCCGTGATCCCTGGACAAGGACTCAGCCGCCCATCAGAATGGTGGCTGTCTTGGTTAATGACACACACACCTCCTCAAACCAGCAAGTTCACGGAATTTCCACCCCATCCAGACCTGGAAGGTCTGTGGCACCTGGAGGACAATGATTTGGGACACATCCACGCCAACACCACCCACAACTGCTGATTGTTTATTGCACAAGAAACTGGCAATACCGAGGCAAGGGGGTGGGCATTACAAAACGATCCGGTGCCAACTCAGAGCTACCAAAGGGCATTCCGTACAGACACCTCAGTTACATACACGTATGTACACACGCACGCCCACATGAACACACCCTGCATACCCACGAGCCTGAGGCTTCCAAACCTCGCATGGCAGCTTGCACCCCAACCCCCAACATGGTGAGACGCTGCAGGGAAGCACAGCAAACGATTTGAGGGAAGAAAGGCTGAGCTGCGGTGAGCTGAGTCACTCAAATCAGCACACGCACCACGGGCCGGGGTAAGGATGAGGACCTGGGAACATGAGACTGTCCTCAGAAGGCCCCATGACCGGTCTGAGGGCCTGCCTGTGGACCCAGGAAGCTCCAGCTAGTCTGCAGCTGGTGCTTGGAGCTAGAACCCTGAGGGCCTTAACTGGGGAGTCTGCGACAATCACGACCGCAGCATCCCAGAGGAGCATGTTCACCTTGAAGATCTCCACATGTGGCAGAATGCCCACGGAAGGGACTGGTGCGAGCTCGAGAAATCAAGTCAGACGGTGTGCAGCAGCTCAGGGCCCTCCTGCTGGTTTCCAAGCACATCACTTCTTATGTGAAGGGAAAGCTTCACTTCTAGGCAGAGTGCGCACACTCCACAGGTGGCTGGGATCCACTGCATCCTCAACCCGGACGAATGGCCCCACCTGGAGGTCCGGGGGCCTGGCAGGTCAGCCGCATGTGCCCCATCACTACATCGAGCAAAGGGAGTTCTTCTCTACAGAGGTGGCGAGGCTGGGGTGGCGCTCGGGACAACAACCCTCTTCCCACTCTGTCCAGACTTGGGGACGAGGCTGCCGTGAAGCTGGGCCACCAGGGCGAGCCTGCCTCAGCTCACAGAACTGCCAAGCGGGTTCCTAAGAGGAGCAGCTGTTTGGGAAGTTCTTGGACCAGCAGAGCTGGGTCCCTCAAGGTCCCAGCCACACCTGGTGCGCCAGCTCCTTGACAGAAAGTGACAGCAGCATACCAACAACAAAACACAAAGCAACCCTACACACCAAACGCTTCAAGTTCATGAAAAAGGGAAAAGAAAGTCTGAGGGAGTTTGCTGTTTTCATCCCACTGACACCCAAGCAGCTGGTATGACCCTTTCTCTGCTGGAGAGAACAAACTAGCCAGCACTGAGTGGAGGGAGGGGCCTTGCTGCTCAGCCTCCAGTGGAGAGCCAGCTAGGGAGGGATGCGAGGCAGCCCTGATCCAGAGCTCCTCTCCCTCAGACCTTCATTTGTACATCTCACCGGAAAAGTTCTATATAAAACAGAACCTCTTTTACTGGCAAAGACCCTGGGCTTTCTCAGCCCAGAATGGCTACCCCAAATGGCTGGTCTCCTTATCTAACCAGCCTGTGAGGCCCAGGGCTTCTGACGCGGCCCCTCCCTTGCACACTCACACATGCCTAGGGTTGGTCTCAGGGGAGAAAGGTGAGCTCTGCAAAGAGGGTCAGCCCTCCAGACTTTGCAATGGGTGATGGGGCCAAAGGTGACGTGGGGGCTTTATTCCAGACTGCTACCAGTGGGTAGGAGGGAGGAGCAGGCAGGGCCTCTTGAGGTCAGGCTCTGCTGCCACCAGTCTGATGACAGTGTGGTCCCATGCAGGGCCACCATCTGCAGGGGCCTCCCGGGGGCTGTGGGGCCAGCGGCCTCTTGGGCAGGGAGGACTCATGATTACATGTGCGCTGGGGGGCATGGGAGGGGACAGCCTCGATTACTCCTGTCCAAAGCCCTCAGTCTCCTCGATGGCATACAGCAGCTTCTCTTTCAGCTGTTCGTAGCTCTTGTACGGTGGGAGATCCAGCCGGTTGAAACTGTTGAGAAAGAAGAGTGGAGCAGTCAGCACAGGGAGGTCAGAACTCCGACAGCCTGGCCCCAGCGGGTCAGAAGAGTTCCCACGACTGTGGCTTGACCACAGTACCAGCCAGCCAGACACCAGAAAAGGGTCTTTGAGAGCCCTGCTGTGTCCCTGGACCATGAAGGGGTTAGGGGAGGAGGCAGGGCTGCAGGGGAAATGGAAAACTGCAAGGGGGCACTTGGACAGTGGTTCTTTGCCTATTGGAATGGGAGTGTTTCGATATTTAAAACCTGGTATGGCTCTCAGGGCACATAACTGCTGTCACAACTCCCAAAAGATCAGAGGCCCAGACACCCCCAGCCCCTCCTCTCCAAATCTGACACCTGGGAGCCCCAAAGAGTTGCCAAAGTCAAAGCCCTGAAGCTACCCCGCCCATGGGCTGTCCTCAGGGGCTCTTGGGGTCTCAGGTTCTGGTTACCTCCCACTGAAACCAGCACACTCACCAGGTGTGGCTTCTGGGCAGCCAGGTTTCCTTGCCAACCTTGTCAATGCAAAACTTCTGTGGTCCATTGCTACCTATATCCAAAGAAAAATTGACTGTATGTAACAGGACAGTCTCTTCCTAAGGCAGGACCCTCCGATTCCTCCGACTCCTCCGGCTCTGCCCCACCCCCATTCACTTGCCTCCAGGAAGACACTAGGTTCTGCCCCTACTTTGAGCTGTCCTCACTCCACCCAAGGGCGCCAGCAGAGTAAAGGAAAACATACCAATGAGTTCAGCAAAGCCCCCAACAGGCAGGCGGCAGGTCCCAGTAACAAACTGCAGCAGCCGGATCCTCTTCTCATTGTCCATCTCCTTCACCACCTGCGAGTCCAGAGCCCAGGCAGTGTCAGGGACCCCCTCAGCCCAGCACTTTGCCTGACCCGTAACTCTCCAGTGAGTCAGGGCCCCTCTTTGGGGCTGAGAACACAAAGCCCGGGTTGGACAGGGGATGACAGCTGCCACCAGGGAAACCCCAAAGCCACTCTAAGAGGCTGGGTTTGCAGACCATTCCCACCAATCTATGACATTTCTTGGACTCGAGGATACCTCGGGGCCAGATACTCTCCTTCCTATTCAGGTTCTGCTTTCAAAAACGTACTGAGGATGGAAGTGACTGCTTAATGGATATGAGCTTTCCTTTTAAAGGAGATGAAATGTTCTAGAATTAGATAGTGGTGATGGTTGCACAAAACTGTGAAAAGGCGTTGTAAAAGCCACTGAACTGTCTACCTTAAAATGCTGAACATGGTAAATTTTATGGTATGTGAATTTCACCTCCACAAAAAAACCTTCTTTCTGTATGCTATACTTCATAACGACCACAATGCCAAGACCCCCAAGTACAAAAGCACCTATTCATCACAGCCAGGACAGTGAGCTCGTTCGGCCTCTCTGGAGCTTTCCCGTCCCACCTGGCTGCAAAGAGGCCACATGACCTACAAGAGCTTTCCTTCCTGCCTGCAGGCTGCCCCTCCGCACACCAGCATATGGAGCTGGCCCACGGCTGACCACTGTCAAATGCAGTGGACACAGTCCAGCTGCAACAGCTCCTTTTGTCCCAAGGTTGGGTTTCTCATCTCCTTTTGCAAACTGGGGGAGGCGAGGAGCGTGTCAAACATGAGGGAGAAGATAACACAACAAGCGTCCTCGAGGTGGGGGTCGAATCATGTCTCGCGTCCTGTGGGGACTGCTAAAACGTCCCTGCCAAGACCCTTGCCCTGACCACGGGGACCAGTGCCTGGGCCCACCTGCCAGAACCACTGGATCTGCTTGCTGTTCTTGGTGTAGTGCCGGTAGATGGTGTTCTTCTGCCAGTCGCTCATGTCTATCTCCTGCATGCCGCACAGCATCAGCTGAGGGGCGGAGGGGAGAAAAAGTGTCAGCGATCCAGCGCCAGCTCCTCTCCCACCCGCCCACAGCTTCATCCGCTCCCTGGCAGATGAGACCATCCCACACATCTTCAACTATTTCTGCTAGCAGTTTTAAAAGTATGGATAACACGTCTTGCACGTGGACCCTCTGAAAGTAAGGGTAGTGTGAGACCCAAATCAAAATTATCCGCCAGCTGCCACAGTCCTGGTGGAGTGTGGGGTTCTGCTGGTGAGCTGCTGTGGGGATACAGTGAGGCTATCAAAGAGCAGGGTTGCCCCAGAGGCAGGGGTTGAGGGTCCCAACAACCTTGGCTCTCACCTCCAGCTCTTTCTCATCAAAATAGCGCAACCACTCCAGGGGGGCCACCTCGTTGAAGCCGTCCAGGAAAGCTTTGGTCTGCTCCTCCACGCCCCGAGTGAAACGCCAGTCAGTTAGCAGCCTAAAACCAAAGGCCAGCCATCAGTGGAGCCAGAGCTCACTGCTCAGGAGCCGCTCAGGGCTTCCCGGGAGGTCACTGTCTCAGCTGAGAGTTGACTTCAGGCAGGCGGGGAGACCCTTTAAAACCTCACAGTAACATGGAGACACTTAAATCTTGGAAATCTCCCCCACCTCCCCCCACTGCCGCTGACTGAACCTCAGATCGTGGAGGTGAAAAGACGGGACCAAGGGATCTGAGTGCTTGGGCACACTTGTGCACAAACACACGTGAGATAGTGGATCGAAGCAGGCAGGACCCTGACAGCCTCTCAGTTAGGAGAAAGAAGAGGGAGACGTCTAAGTTTTAAACCTCTTCAAAGAAATTTATCCCTACCGTCCTGAAGTCTATCACCTGGAAAAAAAGAGCAACCCAGAGCTGGAACAGAGGGCCTCGGGCTCTAGCTCCCCTGGCCCTGGTCAGCATTGTGACTGGCCATGGTAGCCACCTCAGGTCAATGCAGACTGGGACGTTCTTCCCATCCCTGGTGACCCACGGGCCAGGCATGGGGGCCTGGCTGAAGGAGGCCCCAGAGCCCCAGCGGGAAACACTAGCCATGTCTCCGCACCCCCGTGCCCAGGCCCGCCGGCTCCCTGGACCTCGGGACTCACATGATGTACTCTTCCTTGTTCTCTTCTGTCACTCGGATGCTCTCACCACCTTCCTTCAGCTCGTGGGTCGTCACCTTGCCCAGGATCTCCATGTCCTGGATGAAGTACAGCTCTAGGCCACACTCTTCCAGGTTGTTCTCTCTGGGGGCATGAGAGACCAAGAGGGAAGGTGTCTGTCTTTGAAGGGTCTTCCCCTGAGCCTGCTCTGTCACTCACTTAAGTGCCCATAGGACACAGGGACTCACAGGTGGCCTAGAACCCAGCATGCTGGCACGGGACATCTCCCCGATGCGAGGAGAGAGTTCCAGAGCTTCCTGCCTGGGGGACCTAGACCTTGTGCGGCTCCACCTGCACGTCTACCAACCAGAGAGCCCTCCCCTTCCAGCCTGGGCCAGGGAAGGGACTCACTTGATCCAGACAATAGAGTTGTAGAATTCGGGGTCGATGGATTCCAGGTCTTTCAGGGTTGGTCTCTTGTTTAGCATCCGCTTGTAGAAAGGGAGGGTGAAGCCTGTATCAATGAACTTCCCATGGTACAGAGCCTGAGGAAGGCAGACAAGGCAGAGGGGCTTGGTTTCCCTAGGATGCAAGTAACAAAGCCCAGCTACTGCTCCTTGCCCTCCTGAGCATCCAGCTACCCCAGGGGGCCGACGGGAGGGTCTGGGAAACAAGCAGCACTCTCGGTCCCAGCTGCAGACTCTCATCCCACCGGCGGACCTCAGGGACGAGCAGAGTTGGCCTGCTCAGGAGCCCACCTCCGGCCCACTGCACGCCGGCTCCCGACTCTAGCAGAGGCCTGCCCCGCGCACACGGAGAAGACCCAGTCAGGGCAGCTCCAGGTGGCAGCCCTGACTCACTGACGCTCAGAGCTGGGCGGCAGAGGCAGCCAAAAATAATGCAGACTTCGCTGCTGGCGGGCCAGTGGTGAGTAATAGTCTAGAGTTTTACTGGTCTGTCCTGTCAGCTGCAGGGCCAGGCGGGTCTCTAGACCTGGGAAGAATGTGCCCACTTCCTGAGCCCAGCACCTTGGCCAAGAACTTCCAGACAAGGGGAAGGGACATACTTAGTCAGGCAGGGCTAAGCACTCACTTGGGAAGTCAGGGGAAGAAGCAAAGGAAAGTCAGCAGACACCTCAAACTACCAAACACGGCAGCGGGTCTGTGGCTCCCACGGGCTCTCCCTCCTCAATCTTGGTTCTCTTCGCTCACGAGACATTCAACAGGACACACGGGACGTGACCCCCTTTCCATAGTCACGCTCAAATATCCGATTTCCCTTGCCTACTTTGCCCTCCTCCTGACAGATGCCTCCTACATCTTGTACCACCTGGCCTACTAGGGTTCTGTTCTAAGCTACTGCAGATTCCAAACCCCCTTCCAGAAGGACTGAGTCTCAGTCAGACACTCCCAAATGCTGCTACCCAGCTCGTGGCAACAGCCGGAGATGGGCAGCAGGCAGGGAGTGCCGGTCATCGCCCACCCTCAACGGGGAGGTGCGGAATGTTAAGTGCAGCCTTTGACCTGGGGACCCTGGGCTTTCACGTGACAAGCCTGACACGAACGAACACAAAAACCTTCTCAACACCCTGGGGTGGCCACTGAGAGAGCTCTGAACTACCTCCAGAACTGTCGCTAGCTTTTTCAGTTTTAATGAGGAGTTCTTGAAGGATGAGGGGGGCGCCAGTCTGCAGGGCTGCTGCTGGTGTGTAGTCTTACCATGGCAATGAATCTGCCAATAAAGCGGAAGTAGGTGAGGTGGTCAGGGTTGATGGAGGAGGCGGGGTTGATCTGCAGGCAGTAATTGTTCTTCCCAGCGTATTCAAATAAACAATACATGGGGTTGAGCACCTCGTGGGACAGGAGGAAAAACCACTCTCTGTGAGAGAAGAGAGAGAAAAACAAGACTATTGGATCTCTCCCTGGGCACCCACACTGGAGATGCAACTGTCCTCTGCCATCCTATTGCACCCAGTCTGGAGACATGTGTCCTGGGGAGTCATCCCCACTGGGATCAGCACCTGGGCTGACCTCTATGAACAACTGGTCAGTCAGTGAACAGGGTGGGGTGAGACCCAGGGTGGACCAGAACAACTGCACTTGATGATGACGCTCAGGAAAATCTGGGTGTGTGCATGCATGTTGGCTCCAGGTGCTGCATTCCAGGACTTTCCATCTGATATCCAGAGCATCTGACGGCAAAGGGGTTCCTTGCATCCTGAGCCACCATGCACAGTTGTCTAAGCTGTGCACTGCACAAGGGCACTATATTAAAATATCATAGATTTGTACTTTTATCACAACAATTTTCCTGCAAACAGCAATCAAGCTGTCTTTTTCTGATGAAATCAGTATATCATGAACATTTTCCAACACATAAGTATCTTGAGAAGGGGCATCTTTTTCTAAATCTTGCAGATGCGCTATATGAAGAGCAGGCACCCTGTTTCCACCCTACCTGAGTAGGCAACATAAAATGAATACACAGTAACATGACCCTAACTCCTGACGCACGAAAACTCTGTAACCTGTCCGGCATCTACACCTCACTCCCACCAGCTATAGTGTAGATATCTCTCTGCCCTTGCACTTTGCCATCCCCTCACCCCAGGCCCCACCACCACACCCTTTCCCATACTTTCACGCATTCATCTGAACCAACACCCATGCCTTAGCATCTCTGCGCCCTAGGTACAAGCCTCAAGCCAGAAGTCAGTCTTTTCCAGCTAGAGCTAAACCAGCAAGGGGATGTCCCAAGGAGGTCAGTCCCTGGCTGCTGGCTGTTTGTGGCTGGGCAGACGAGGAGTCCTTCGATGCAGAGGGTGCCCCGGTATCCTGTCCGTGGTTCTACCCTGTGGTAGAACAGCATGACGTAACCTACCATAGGGTAAAACCACTGGCAGGACACAGAGAGACAGACACACACGGGGCGGGAGCCACACCACCAAGCAGAGCCTGGAGAGGAGGTTACCATGATCACCAAGGGAAAAAGAGCAATTGATCCACGGGGGCCAAGACAGAGGGCAACATCACCAGCAAACAGAGGACCAGAAGCAAGTTAACCCAACACCAAGCGAGAAGATGTCCCCACACCACAAGAGGTCAGTAAGCTGAGCGGTCACCACAGGCAAAGATGTGCCTTCTCTCTGCTGGGGCCCCGGTGCCCCACCATCCAAGGCAATGTTTTACCAGAGAGTATGTTAACTTTTGTAGGTGGACTGGGGTCAGGGCAAGACAATGCTCTGAGCTCTTTTTAGGATTACATTAGCTACTTTAATTTTATTGACCCTGAGCACATAACATGCAGCTTCATATTGATCAATGCCCTTTGGGCTGTGAGACGGCTAAGACATGCCAAGTAAATAGCAGGACACCCAGGCCTCAAGAGGAAGGAAGCCCAGGGTCGATTTTAATGGACACCCACATAATACCGATGTTTAACCACTGCCCACTGGCGCAGCCGGACTGGTTAAAGTACAGAAATAATGACATGTTGGTTGGTAGAGAGTCAGAGCCCTGAGTGCCTCCCCTGGAAGCTCCCCATGACCCCAGCAGGGGACCCCAGGACCCAGCTCCAGCGCTCACTCAGACCGGCCATACCCATGCCCGTTCCTGAAGATGCAGGACAGCTCTGGCAACAGTCTGAGCAAGAAGGAGGCAGCTTTCTGGCCATGGGTCCTGTAGCCTGGGAAAGCGGGGTGCAGCTCAGCCTCCCAGGGCGCCCAGCTCACCTGGCGATACCGCCATAGTCCAGGCCCTCCTCGCCGCGCATGATGATGTAGAGCCGGCGGCGCAGGTCGTAGGGTTTCATGTTCATGATCTGGGGAGACAGGAGATGATGGCCAGCCTGCTGCGCCCGTCCATGGCAGGCTTGGGGCAGGGGGCAAGGTATTCCCAGGCCTGCTTTTCAGCAGATACCAGTCACCAAGGCCCATGCCTTGGGAACCCGACCATTTGGGCTTAACAGGCCACATGACAGAAGACAGAGCAGCAGGAGCAGCCTTCTGCCTGCCCCTGGTCTTAGACACGATGATTATTCTCTAACCTGTTGGAAAGAATCCTCGAAAAGAGTTTGCCTGGAAACACTGATCTTCACGTGGCTGGGGAGAGCATTTGACTGAAAAGAAAAAAAAAGGCACAAACCTCAAATCGGGCCCTTGGTGGTAACGATTCAGTCTGGTCAGCTGTCTGTCTGAACAGGCTTCCCCATCCCCTGGGCTGGGAAGGGAGAACTAGTTCTCCTAGGAATGGAAGTTAGCTTCCTGGAGACGAGGTCACATAACTGCTCGGGGTGAGACAAGTGACCTGCTCCCACCTAAGACAAGCATTCTGACACCTGCTGCTGGGCTAGGAAACTGCAGAAAGAACTCTATAACCCCAGTCTCTAAGGGAGGTGCAGGTACCACAACTCACATGGCAGAGGAAACGGAACTGGTGATACTTCCACCGAAAGCTTCGGTCGTAGGCACCAGGGGAACCTTGTTTCGCCCTGGGAAGAGCAAAGATGTTCTGGAATCCATGCGCTTTCTCAAAAATTAGCAACGTATCTTGTTAGCCCTAAGGAAAGCTGATGCTACGTTAATTTAAAGACGAGGAAAGTGAGGCACCAAAAGAAAGGAAGTGACTGCCACTATTTGAGGATTAGAAAGAAAATCTAGAAATAAAGCCAGCCTTGCTTTTAGAGAAAGACCACTAGTGTTACTCTGAATTGAGTAGCCCCTTCCCCCTCATCCCCACCAGAGTGATGTCAAAATTGGCCACTAGAGGGCAGTAAGAGCAGCACTATCCAGCCTGTGCTTACACAGTGATGTCACCTGCGCCAAGTCCTTACCCAGATTCAAACCCGGGGCGAGGATCTTTAAAGGTGGTGGTGCGGGTGTTGTGGTCCACAAAGTAACGCACCCCCTCGCTGGTGTACTTCATCTCCCACCCTGGGGGCAGAGCTGGTTCCTGGATCATCCTGGAAATATGGGAAGAGATGGGTGAAGGGCTGGCATCACCTGCTGGGCCCCTGCGCTAAGGGGGCTGGGGTCCCCTACATGCTGCTTTCCCTCTGCTTTTACCCGGGCCCTGAGGAAATGCACTTGGCAATACCCAAGTCCTGAGGACAGTTCTGCAGCAGAGAGAGGTCATTCACTGTCTCAAAGCCAAAAAACCAGTCCCACGTGGACGGCCGTGGCTCAAGTGGCCACCAGCAATCCCGAGGCACCAAGTTGCCCAGTCCCAGACTAGCTTCTTGGGGGTGGGGAGTATAGAGTGTCTGAGGAAGGGGGTAGTTCTCAACCCTTCTGAAATCACATGATCAGCAGCCTGCACAAGTGGCAGAGAACAGCAAGAGCTGCCAGCCAGGCCACTCTCCATCCATGAGGAAAGTCAATTCAAGGTGCCATCTGCAAGCTCTCACCGGGCCGACACTGTATCCTAAGGGTCACAGGGCACTTGTGTGTGGCTAAAGGTGCCAGAACATCGGCCATGGAGAACTAATGCAGTCCAAGGCCATGAGGCCAATGCTGGAGCTGCACAGAGGCCTGGCCCAGCTCCTCTCCGGGCCTGCTTCCTTACCCCTGGGTCCGAGGGTCCTCCCATTGGGTAGTGCGTGTGTTATGGTTCACGTAATACACCCGTCCGTTGTCCTGTCTCTTCTCTGCCAGGGGAGAAGAAAGAAAAGAAGACATTCAGATTGAGACATTTGAGACCATGTCATCTGCCTTCTGGCTCCCACCTCCTAGGTGCCAGGTCTGAATGTCTTTCCCCTATTCCCAACCTGTTAGAGAAGTTGAACCAGCAAAAGCCTGGCTCACTCAAATCTGTCACTGACAAAAATGACAAAGACATCTTTCCCTACTGCAGAGTAAGGAGGTATATACACATTTTTAACTCCACATCAAGCACCGTCTTTGGTTGGTTGATTTGCTGGAGGGAAGGGGGTGGTGTGGCAACATAAAGGGGGAGCAGCCCAGCTGAAACCAGAGGCATAATTGCATCCAGCTGTGTGCAAAGTGGAGCCACAGCCCAGCCTCCCCTCAACCCTGGCCCCCACCCCAGTCCATCACAGCTGCTCGCTGGTCCTATAACCGCTTTGTCCACTGGAAGCAGCCGACCCAGGTGCTTCTGTCCCACAGGCAGGGTCTTTGGGGGGCAGCTCCATTTTCCCTCATCACTCTCTGATCAGCTTTCTGCACCACAGAGCCTGTGAACCCTGGTGCGTAAAGGCTAAGTTTTGCTCTGAAACTCCCACATCCCAGCAAAACCTCTATGTAGCAAATGTGCAAAGAAACACCTGGGGTTGTGGCACTTACAAAGCCATCTTGGTCTTACACCTAAGTGTGTGCTTCAAGACGGGGCAGTGTTTGGGGAGCTCAGACATACTCTCACTCTCCTCTGGACAATATTTACTCTCTTGCCCTTTACTGGTGTAGTAACGATGGCTCTGAGTTGTTCGAGGGAGAAAGTCTGGGCTCCAGGGGCACACACAACTCCAGCTGGCGATTCTGGTCCTTGAGAGGGATTGAAAGGGGCACCCAGCAGCTCTAGGTGGATGGTGGGCAAGACTCCGAACCCAAGAGCTGTCACCTTTCCCAGCTCAAAGTTCCTGAGTTTTCAAACCTGTTTCTGTCCTGGAAACAAATAATGCTAATAGACCTCCTTCTTTTATAATGACAGGGAGAAGTTAAAGAAATTTTAAAAATCAGTTCCAGAAGCCACAGGGAAACTGAAAGCTGAAAAGGGCACAGAACTGGGGAGCCCAGTCACCTCTCCTCAAGTATCAGGCTGCAGTGTTCACAGTATCAACCCAGGGTCCCGGTCTCTCTCTGCCTTACTGGTACTTGATGAAAATTCCAAAAACACAGACAAAAGGAAAGAAAGAAAAGAAGGTGGCCGGCCTTGCTACAGAGCTACCACCACCCAGAACAGCCGGTGGGACCATCCCACAGAAGACAGGCTTTCTGAGAGGGTTCTGAGGGGAGGGAGGACCTGCTCCCAGCCCAGAAGCTTCTACTTTGAACTAGCTCCCCTACCAGTGTTCTGCCAAGGGCCAAAACCAAGCCTGGGAGATCTGTCCAGCCGACCAGTGTCCTGTGGGGTTCTCCCATGGCCCACCAGAACCACCTCGCTACACACGGTATTGTAGTTTGGGGTCTGGAAACGTCCTTAGGTGACCTCATTTAGGAAGAAACGGATTTGGGTGTGTTCAGAAAGGGACCCAGGACTGGGTGCAGGAGGACACAGGGGACTTGACAGCAGGCTTGTGCTAAACGCAGTTCTCCTACGGTTTTGCTGCTCTTTCTGTTCACTCTTAACTCTCCCTGGGAAGATGGCCCTGCCACCGCCCTGGGGAAGCCGACACGAAGTCCGAAGGATTTGATCAGGCAGGTTCCTGAGGCCTCAGCCAGATATTCTTTTTCTCGTATAGTCTTCTGTGTTCTCCTGATCATTCGTAAACAGCACTGACTCCACCATGGCTCCTATTCTCATCTCTAATATTTCACACTTGGCTTCTGGAAGCTGTTTTCAAGACCCTGTAGCTGCTCTTACTTGGTGATCATTTAACAGAACTGGTACAGAAATAAATCACTTGACTCTACAAATCCAGGAACAACTCTGGGTCCCCTGCTCTAGGTCACGGTCTACTGGCTGCCAGACAGCCTCACAGATTCTTACTCTGATGAGTCTTCCACTGCCCAGCCAGGAATCCTGTGTTTGACCCTCCCACATTCGACAAGCTGCCGATCTCTGAGCTACAAATGACCTTTCATCTGTACAGGGAGCCAGGTGGGTCACCTGTATGCATAAGGGATTCCCTAATAGAAAACCAAGCTCTCTGTGGGGACCTCTTTCCCACTAGGAGAGCTAGGAGGCCCTTCCAGTGCTCTGGAATGCAGTGGTAAGTGACTAAGTGATACTCTGCGGGTCCAAGGGGGCAGATGCAACCTTGCAAATCACTACCAGGGAGGAGCTGTATCTGCAGCGAGAGGATCCAGCTCAAAAGCTGCAGTTTTCCAGGAGATGCTCATCCCATCATCGTCAGCTTCTTCATCTTTGTTAGGGAGCACCCCCCTCCAATTTAATACCATCTGAGAACACCACCAAACCAGCAGTCACTGTCTTCTGCTGGCCTAACAAATAAATTCAACCTGATATACACTGATTCCTGCAAAAACTGCCCTCTTCAGCTCCCGGGGGCTCTTGCACACTGAACAAAACCCTGATCCAGCTCAGGGCTGCAGGATGCACTGAGGGCCACCATCTCTCATGACCCCTTTGCGCAGGCCCACTCCTTCCCAGAAAAGCCATAAAGCTGCCATCTCTCCTAAGTCTTGCATGTCCATTCCTCTAACTCATTATTGGCAAATCACACCAAGGACTTGGAATTCTCCGATGACAAGGAGAATCCAGCATGGCATTATAAACTAGCAAAGATGCACTTTCATAACGTCACCAGCCCACGCTCAACTCTCTTATCTGCTTCCCTCTGGCCTCTTTCACAGCCGTATAGAAAAGTAAAAGGTGGCTTCCATTAGTCAAAATTAGGCTGAAGTCCTCCAACATCTCAGCTGCATAGAAACGTTTGGTAAGGTGGCTCCTTCCAAGCAGACAGCCACAGACCTGAAACAAATGCACCTGGGAATCAGCCTTAGTCAATGATAGGATGGATTCTTGAGGAGTCATCTTGCAAGTCAGCACCAAAACCCAACAGTCCTATGGCTGCTCAGGGATTTCTTTTGTAGGGTCACCCTCCTGCAGCTACAGCAGGTGAGTGCTACAGGGGTGCAGGGGAACCCGGTTACTTTCCCCATCACCTGTAAATGCTCCAGCTGGGCCTCCCCAGAGGGTGTGCTGGAGGGAGCCAAAATGGGAAACTGAGGCATGAGAGTGAGGAAGAGGAGCCAGGAAAAGAGGATGGAGCAAGGTAGACCATCAGCTGAGGTGGCTGAGGGCACAGAAGAACTCAGTACTTACCCCAGCCAGGAGGGAGAGGGCCCAATGGGTCATGGTCAGAGGAAGCACTCGAAGACTAAATACAAGAAACACAGCAGAACACAGAGGTTTAAAAAAGCCGCTGGTTAAAAATAAATCAACCGATAAAAATAAAAATGCCAAGGACTCATTTCCACATTTTAGCTCTTTGCAAGGCACACAGGGGCCTTAGGTGGCATCTGCTCCTCTCGGGAGTCTTCTTCGAAAAAGAAAAACCAAAAAAGAACCCTGCACGCTGAGGGCCCACTTAAGTTTTGGAGAGGGTGGAGCAAGGGGGAGGGAGAAGTGTGCGGGGGGGAAGGTGGGCCAGGGCAGCCAGGCGGCCCCAGGCGTGGCAAGAGGGCCCAGAGCGGGGCTGCCGGCAAGCTCAGCCGGGTGCCTCTGCTCGGCTCCTGCTCGGCCAAGGCGACTGAAATCACCACCACCTCCAACTTTCTCCAAGAACCACACACGGGAGGGGAAAAAATATCGCAGGCCTTTCCAATGAAATCATTCCCACAAGCCCTGCCCACGCCCAGAGCTTCCTGGCTAGGGGCTGGCCCTCCTCCTCCACCTCCCTCGTGGGTGCAGGGGAGAGGGGGCAGCGGCGGTGGGCCACCTCGGCCCAGACTGAGGGCACATTCAGGCCCCAGGCCCCTCGCCTCCCCCAGGAATGTTTTGCTTCCCTTCACAAAGCACCTTTCTTCTCCTCCGGCCTGAACCTGAAGTTGTTCAGTGTTCTGTGTGTGCCTGTCTGCAGGGGTGGGGCTGGGGGCGAGGTGGCAAGAGAGATGGGGAGACAGGAGAAAGAAGGGGGAGCCGACTCCAGGCCTCCAGGGTCACTGTTTACATTAGAACCCCCTACTCCCCGCCTGACTGCTTCGAGGTCCCTGGGGCAGGGCTGCAGTTGCCTGAGAGTTCTCATATCCTGCGGGGAGGGGGTGCTGTCAAAAGACTCTTCATAGTTAAATAAAACAAGTATTGTTCTGTGCTTGCTCTCTCTCTCTCTCTCTCTCTCTCCTTTTTCTCTTTTTTTCCTTGCTGAAGCATTTTTATTTCCCTTACTAAAATTTAATCGTTACATTAGGGGGATCAAGTTCACAGTGCAGACTTCGGGCTGCCTGGCTGGCCCCGTCTGGGGGCGAGGGAGCCACACACGGGCAGGAGGATGAATGGAGCTCAGTCTCGGCTTGAGAAAACATTGGTAGAACTTAACTGCCAACAAACCCCCTTCCACAGCCCTCCCTCCACCCCAGGCTGAAAGGACAGAGAAACTTTCTTTCTAAGGTGGCAGTACAAGCAACTCTTCCAAAGCAAGTTCCAACAAAGACGTTTAAGTCTTGAAACCATAGGTTCCTTGATGGGACGGAGCCCCCTTTCAGCAAAGGGTCTCCCAGCCAGGAAGAATGCAACTGCTCGAAGGTGCGGGAAGCTGGGCTGTCCTAGACTTAGGGCACATTGCCCTCAACCTCAAGGGTGGGCTTACAACCTCCACCACAATTCAGATTTGTCTGCTGGTTACTGAAAAAAATCTCCCAAATTTACAGAGGTTATTTTGGTGTCTGTGGAGGGGGGAGGGGGGTAGGGGGTCAGTATCTTATAAAATCCAAGCTCCTGCAACTTTGTTTTGTAGTTAATACATAAAAACAGTAGGGATAAAAGCATTTGGCAACGGAAGGAAAAGAACTACCTTGTGAAATGTGCAAGCGCTTCAGATAAGGAGGCCAAAGAGGAGAAGGCAGCGGGGAAGTGCTGAGCTGGAGCAATGTCCTTGCAAAAGGGAGGGACTACAGAAAAGGTCATTTTAAGAAATCAAAAGAAACAGCATTTGGTGTAAAATTGTTTGCTGATTTGGGTCTTTTTTTTTTTCCCAGAGTACGTGGGTAATCTGCAAAGCATTCAGGAACTAGGATAGGAAATTAGCTCCCAACTGGTACCAACTGGGCTTCAGTGGGTTTAAGTCATCTCCTGCTTAATTTTACAAATCAACACACCAAAAAAGTCTTTCCTGACCGCCTCCGTGACCTGCACTGAACTAGAAATAAAAAATGTTTCTCAGCTCCTTTCTGAACCCTTGCCTTTTTTTAATGTCAGAAAGTTCACACAATGTTGGCTCTCTTTCGTTAAGGTGGTTTTTTTTAAAACAATTTCGTCGCTCTCCTCTCTTTCCCATCCTATCCAATCATCTCCTCCCCAAACCTGTAAGAGGGGGAGAGAAGAGGAGGCAGAGAGGATGAGAGAAAGACCAGAAATGGATAAACTCAAACAACACATGAAATGGAGTCAGCAGAAGCTGACGCTCATCACAATTTTCCCTCTTACAGTTAAAGCAAAACACTTGATTATTTTGGATACTTCTTCCCCAATGTATATAGTCCAACTTGAAAAATTTTTAAAAGAAGCAAACAGAAGCCAAAGAGATACAAAAAATTAAAGTTATGCATCATGGCCAGAAAAAACAAAACCCACAAACCCCCCATCTCCAATGAGCCAACTATCCCTCCTCTCCCAGCACATCTTCCCCTGAGATGCAGATCCTCAGTGTCACTGAGAGCATGGCTGGAAAAGCACAGAGAAAGGGGCAAGGGTGGGGGTGGGAACTGTGGTTAGAAGAGAGATCCTGGGATGTGCAAGTGAGTCTCAGGGACAAGACAGTTTTCTTTATTACCAGGAAGAGAAAGGAACGCTGTTGAATAATTTTCCTGGTAACCATCCCTGGGTTGGGAGAACTGGGGTGCAGGCCACCAGCCAGAGGGCTCACGTTGAGTTCAAGTCCCTTAGGGACAAAGCATTAAGTCCTGTAATATTTTAAGGTACAGACTCAGAAATAAAGAATGTCTAGCAAACACAGCTGAGGACAAGAAAACACTCTGGGAAGGGCATAGAGGTTACAGTGTAGAAGGCAGGCTCCTTTTTTTTTTTTTAAGGGTGCACCCAGTGGGTGCAGAACAAAACCCAGGTGCTTCAGAATGTGATCCAAGGGGCTCTCTGCAGAGTCAGAAACACCTTGTCTGTTGCTGGATAAAGCACTTTGGCATTTGCACATTAGGAGCCAGTGAATGATCTGCTTCTGTCCCGCCAACACCGGCTATTCCTTTAGATATTGGGGGAGGACCAAGGCAGGAGTGGAGGAGGAGGTGCCACAGAAACAGTAGAAGGCTATGTCCAGGGTCCCATCTAAATATGAGATGTGCAGGACCAGGCCGGGCATGGTCAGTGGACCGCAGGAGGACCGAGAAACAGAGGGCAAAGCAGAACCACAAGGATGAAACACAAGTATGTGTATGATGATCACAAGTAACAAAGGCATGCTGGGGCATCAGGGGAGGGAAGTGTGTCAGAAATAAGGGGACAATAACAGAGAGACCGAAAAAGGTGTGCGTTGAGGCAGACGGCAGGAAGGAACTACAGGAGACTGCCATCTGGGATTCCCGTAATTTCCCGTGTTGCACTGTATTTCGTGCTCTCTGCAGGGCAGCAAAGAAGAACAAGGTCCGGTTTCAGCCCAGCAGCAGCAGCAGCAGCAGCAGCAGGAGGAGGAGGAGGAGGGGAAGCCACTGGTATAGTATCAGCTCTCAAGTCTTCTGAGTCAAATCCTGGGCCAAGGCCAAACCCCAAAATAACTCTATGAAAGCGACTCTTCTTACTTGTAACCAGGACATGGCACCACAGCAAACCAAATCCAGAGGGGAGGGAAATCAACACAGAGACATTGAAAGCTGACCCAAAAAAGATTCCTACTAGGTTTTTCAATATGAGTTTTGTTTCACGGAGGAAAGGAAGGGAACCATCACCTCCATCCAGAGCCCTCCTGCATCCCCAGCTACGCTGAGAAAACCATGTGAGAGGACTCAGAATGCTTTTTTTTTTTAAGCACAGAATTTTTACTTTTTGGGGACACTTCAAGTCAAAGCTCCACCTCTGCAGGCCTGGAATACCGTTGCTAAAATGACAGAGGCAGGAAAGAGGAATGAAGCTCCAAAAGATTGAGCAGATATGCGCTCCAGAATCTTCCCTTTCACATACCAAATATGTCAGTCAACCGACAGGACCCACACGGTGTACGGTAGGGTAGGAAAAAGATTCCTTCAATGGATTTTTCTTTTTTGATTTGAGAAGCTGGGTAAGCAGGGAGACAAAACCATGTGAGACTTCTAAAGTACACCCGTCTCTAGGTTGAAGGACAAAGATGCCCAGACCTTGCCAGTTTAGTAGCCATGGCCACCCAAGAAAATGGCAGGGAAAGTCTTTGGAGCCCAGCTTAAGGGGAACAATTTCTGAAATACAGAGAATGACCAGACTCCATCCCATTTTAAAACATGCCAGACCAGATGGCCAGCATGTGTGATAGGAGCTGTGGAGTGGGAGGCCTGGCACAAGAACTCTGCAGTGTTGCACCAGGTGGACCCCTGGGCACGAGTTGTAGACAGGCATCATCGTTGACCCTGGAGGCAACTTAACATGACAAATACCAGGCTTTCTGCTCATCTATACTAAGGAAACCGGGGTCCTCATCAGTTTCCTCACTATATCACGGGCAGTCAGCTCCCGCAGACAGAGGAAGGAACAAGCCAGCCGGGGCAATGCTACCATGTCTTCCGTTTGAGGGGTAGTTGCTGCTTTGGGTGCACAGGGTAAGAGCTGGAAATAATGGCAAAGCTGATGATGAAGGCTACTTAATTAAATGGAATTACAGGTTTTCTGAGCATTTAGAAATGGGTCGTGGGGTTAAGGTCCACTTCAAGTAGAAACAATGTGGGTTAAATGTGGTAATGTCGTGGACCAGCTCAAAAAGTTCCCAGCCTCTAATGCACCACATCCTGTGCAGATTCTACTGCAGATCCTAAGCTTCATGTTCAAGGGGCTCTAAGAAAATGCAACCAAATTTGGGAACCCCAACTCTCTTTGCCAAAGAGGTTGTGTGGCTGGGCTCCCTACCAAGTACCAGGTCGCTAGTAGAGGCTCTAATGAAATGGAGACCCAGGAAGGAAGGTTCCTAAAGGGATACAGAATGGGAGACCATTAGACAGTTAATCTGGGACCACAGCACTCTGAATCCTGGACTAGAAAGTTTAAATGTTATTCTGTAGGTAATGGCCACAGAAGGTTTTGAGCCAGTGATCAATGTAGACTAAAGCCCTCCCCCCACTTCCTTAACACCTCGACAGTGATTTTTTTTTTTTAATGACAAAATGACTGTGAGATTTGAAGATTGCTCTGCTAAGACCAGGCAGGACAGGCTGGAGGAGAGAGAACGCCACCAGAGAGAACAATTTCGAGGCTGGCCTGACCGTTCACTTGGGAGGGAGAAAGAAAATCAGTAATCAGATAGAAGGAGGTTGATTTAGACCAAGGGTCAATAAACTTTTTCTGTAAAGAGCCACATGAAATATTTTAGGCTCTGTGGGCTACCCGGTCTCTGTGTGACTGCTCAACTCTGTAGCATGAAAGCGGCCACAGTCAACATCAACACGACTGGGTGTGCTGGGTGCCAATAAAACTTTATTTACAAAACCAGATGGGGACCGATTTGACCCAAAGGCCACAGACTGCCCACTTCAGAACCAGATGAAATTTAAAGGTCCCTCCATCCTTGAGAATTTGTCAGATAATAAAGATCTAAAGAAAAACAGCAGTAGCAATGGAAAGAAGGATTCGGGTGACTGCTTTGATTTGAAAAGGCAAGGTATGGGAGAGGTCACAGCGACCTTCAGGTCTCAAGTCGGGGTAAATGGACTTGGATGGGGGGACCAGATGAGAAATCCAAACCTGGAAGAAAGATGGGGAATTCAGTTTCAGACATACATACTGAGTCCATAAACACAGAAGCTGGACATCCAAAGTCAGAAACACTGGAATCTGAGGAATTTCACTGTGATGAGTAAAATCTCTAGGGTCAGAGCACCGACGTGTCCAGCTGTTTTCCCTGCTCACCAAACAGGTCAATGGAGAATGTGTGAGGCTGCACATTCTGCCATGCCCAGAGGCTCCCTGCCCTCATGGCAAGCCCTTGGCCTCTCACCTGGTAGAGGAATCTTTGGCTGAAGTGCTGCATGGCACCCTGGAGCTGGTTCCGCTGCGACTGCCACTGCTCATAGTTTCGCACGTACTCGGCGGTGGGGCGCTGCCAGGTGGTGGTCCGGGTGTTGTGATCCACATAGTAGAACCTGCCTCGGGGGTCTGTGCGTTTCTCCCAGCTGAAAACATTAAGCTCAGAATGAACACTGTGCCCATCTCACCCGTACCCTCAAATTCTAGAGAAATCTCAGAATGGCTGGCAAGGAGGACCTCAAAGAAGGGTTTGGTGTGGCTTCTGGCACAGGCGCTTGGCTGCTCCAGGGAGGCACAGCCAGGCAGGCCCCAGTCACAGAGGCTTCTGGGGCTTGGATGATTATAGCAGATATCTGTGGTTGCCCTCACAGCAACCAACCCCTCGCTACCAGCAGCTCCTGATTTCCATTTCAGAGATCGAAGTGGTTCTAGGGAAGCTGACTCTACTTCCATCACTGGAGATGAACTGTTGACTGGACCAGGAGTGGGCATGTGACCTATGCTGAGCCAATCAGGGTGACTCTCATAACTTTTGCTAGGAATTCTAGAGAAAATTTCTCTTCCTTGCTGGATATGACTGAGAAAGCATACAGTTCTGTGAGCCATGGGCTGCCATCTTGGACCCAGACACAAGAAGAAGTTGACCCAGGAGATGGCAGAGCAGGAAAATGGGGGAAAAGCCAGTCCCTTGGTGATGCTGTTGAGCCACTAGATCATGAAACTAGGATCCACATGTAGAATTTTCAGTTACATGAGGCCAATGAATTCTCTTCATTATTCAGGCCAATTTGGATCCCCATTTTTGTTACTTGCAACTGAAATTGTCCTGATATAAGGTGCCAGTGAAAATACACTGCACGGTCATGATGAGAAGACTCAGTGCAAACAACAGCAGGACTCTCCACATTATCTTTAGTGAGGAAGCAGTCTCTCCAAAGTTGGTCCTAAAATATCCACGGGCAAGGCAGGGCTAAAACAGAGAGCGAAAATTCTCAGCTGCGCTTGGTACAAGGTGTAACTTGATTTCCAAACACATGGGGAAGAAGTGATGAAAGAAAGCAAGAAAGGGAACTATGCGGGGTGACGGAAATGTTTCACATTTTGATGGAGTGTGGGTTACATGAGTGTATGCATTTGTCAAAACTCAGTGAACTGTACACCTGAGATCTATCTCACTGTATGTAAGTTATATTTCAGTTTTTACAAGTGAATTTGAATCTAATTAAGCCTCCATATCCAATGACCAGTTTACCATGAAAGATAAGAAATAAAGGAGCATGCGTACAACACGAGTCACAATCAGTCACATTCAGAATATGAGAAATTCTGTAAGACAGATGCCCAGGATCTTCAACAAACAGCCAGAAAATAAACAAGAAACGGTGGGGGAACTTACAGATTATAAGAGACAGAGATTTATGAGCTATACCAGCCAAAAGCTGTGTGTTGATCTTGAGTTTGGATCTGATTCAAAAAATACCAAATGTGAAAACAATTTTTAAGACAATTGGGGAAAACGGAACACAGACTGTCTACAACGTGAAGTAAAAAGAAATACTGTTAATTGTGTTGAGTTGGATGATGGTATTTTGGTTATTTAAAAAAAACTCACCTGTTAGAGATGTATGTGATGTATTTATGGATCAAAGGGTATGATGACTAAGGTTTGCTTTAAAATTCATCATCCCCTCCCCTGAAAAGTGTGAGGTCAGATGAAACAAAATGTTATTAACTGTTAGTACTAGGCAATGGTTACAAAGGATTCACTGTAGCATTGTCTCAAATTTGGTGTAGGCCTGAATTTTCCATTGTAAGCTTGAAACGGGGATGGGGATAAAAGGAGTGTAAAAAAGATAAGAGAAACCACTGAAGAAAACAGGATTAACTCAATGCAAAGGGAACCCAATATAGATTACACTGTATGACTCCAAAGTGCTGAAGCGCTTGTTCCTTAACTCCCTTCTCATATCTTCTCTGAATTCCGATCTTATTCCTGTGACTATCGTGCTTTGGTCTGATAGTTTCCTCAACTTTCAGGGTTAGCCTCCTAGCTAACTTTTCTGGCTATCTCTTCAAAAATTCTTTCAAACTGACAGTCTCCTAAAAATGGCTTCTCCTCAAGCGGCTACCAGCTCCATGGCCAGTTCCCAGGTTGTGTCTGGATTCCGCCTGCTGAACTGACCATCCAGCCTTCGTGACCTGCTATCACTTGGGGTTCAACTAAATGCCACCACTCTCACCCCAAACCTGAGACTTTCCCAGTCTTCCTCCCATCAGTTCCCTTTGCAGGGACAAAACCACACCATCATTCAAGATGTCAGTAAGCCATTCAGCCCAGGGGCTTGTTTTTGTTTTGTCTCCTTGCCCTTGACTTTCCATTTCTATGTCCAACTATCCCTAAACTAATCTCCCCATCCAATCCTGCTGATAAACTACCGTCAGGGTAACCCTAGCAGACTGAACCCTGATGGCATGCTCCTGCTCAAAAACTTCAATTCACTCCCCACTGCCCTCACATCAAAACCCTGAATCAATGTTCAAGGTGCACAATAATCCGGAACCTTCCCACCTTTCTCATAAATTCTCTCAACTAGAGATTTTTATTTATTTTCATCGGTTAGCAAAGGAATCATGTATCTGTAGTTTGAAACACAAATAGTACCACAGGGAAAACCAGTGTCACTTACCCAACCTTTCCCCACTGCTGACTCCTGCTCCTCAGGGGAAGCGACTACTTTCAACTCTCGACTACTTCTTCTATCGACAGCCATGCTTCTAAATAAACGCTCATTCCAACTTTCTTGACTTCTGCCATATTAGATATTATTTACAGACTTTCCACTATCAAAGCTGAGAATTTAGTCATTGTACTCCAACCCCTAAAACACACAGTGCCCCCTCCCCTCCATCCTCCCAATTTAGAAAGTTGTCATTAAATCAATATTCAGAGTTTGGATTATGACTTTGTAGAGGTAAGGACTTTGAGAACTTCGAGTCTAGAGAACTTTCACTCTCTAACAAATATGACTTTCTAGAGTTAAGAACTGCATGTTTTATTCTGCTTGGTTTTCAAGGCTCTGTCGCTAATTCACCCCCAGATCCTGACAGGACAGATGGCCCCTCAGTGTCCCTTAACTCTTAGCCACATCTCTCTAGGCACCCTCTGTCCAGCTTAGACAGCTGTCCTCTAGGCCTGCTCAACCTTATAGTCCTGAATCATCTTCCCTCACCTTCCTCTTGGGAACATCTTTGGCCCCTGAATTGAGTCCCCTGTGTCCTACATCTCAGGACTTCTTTCTTGATTTCCTCTTGTCTGGTGGAATAAATCATCTAATAGTTTCTGAGAAAGAATGCATCAAAGGTAATTTTTTGAAACCCTGCATGTCTGAAGATGCCTTTATTTCAACCTTCATGGACTTGAGGTTCAACTGAATTAGTAACAGTTGGGGGGAGGGTATAGCTCAGTGGTAGAGTCCGGTGCCTGCTTAGCGTGCACAAGGTCCTGGGTTCAATCCCCAGGTCTTCCATTATAAAATAAACAAACAAATAAATAAAAATTTAAAAATAAAAGGAGTAAAAGTTGATTTCTGGATGGGAAATAATTTTCCATCAGAATTTTGAGGGTACTGCTCCATAGCTGCTATTGAGAAGAAGGATGGCGTTCTCAATTCTTGACCCCATTTTCCCCTCTGGAAGCTTCTAAAGTGTTCTCTCGGTGTTCCAAAATTCCATTAGGATGTGCCTTGGGATGGGTCTTTTTTCATTCCCTGGGTTGGGCATTTGGTAGTCCCTTTGAATTTGGATATTTTATCCTTCAGTTCTGGCAATTTTTAAATTCTTTCTTCAATTCTTTCTTTCTCATCCTCTATTTCTCGCTTCTTTCTTGCCAGAACTACTCTTTAGATGTGGGATCTCCCCAGATTCAACCTCTAATTTTCTTATCTCCAACTTTATCTTTTAATCTTTCCATTTCATCCTTTTACTTCTGCTGTCATATATATTAATTTCTAAAAGCTCTTCTTCTTTTCTGCATGGTTCTTTTCACAGTTTCCTGTTCTTCTTGCCAAGATGCCATATTTTCTCCCAAATCTTTGAGGGTAGGAATTATAATTTTGGCTTTACTTTTTGAAGTTTCTTCAGTTCCCCACATTCTCACCAAGTCCCCTTTCTCTCTGTCTGCTGGGCCTTGGCTGTTCACTGACATTTAAAAGTGAGTCAGTAAAACACTGACTGGAGGCTCCAGGTACGCAGGAGGGGGCAGGCTGACTCGCAGCTTCACTCAGCTGTTTCACAAGAAGATGCCCCAATATCACAATCTGTAGTTTTCTTCTCCTAGACTGGTCACTTTCCCCAGTGAAAACAAAACAAACAGACAAACAAACAAACAAAGAAACTTTCCAATCTTTATCCTAGGGACAACAACCTCACTTAATCCCTTTTCTCTAAGTCTACGCCTGCCTTCGGCTCTGGCTGTGTTCTCCAAGTTGGTTCTGCTCTCCCAGTAACTTCTCACACTAGCAGGAGTCACATGGCCACATGTGTGTGTACACGCATGTGTGTGGCAGAGGGTTGGGAGTGATGGTTGGCAGCCTAGGAGTCTAATTGCTCCCTGCACAAATTTTAAACTTAACTTCAGGTTTTTAATCTCATTACGTGGGCGCGTGCACACGTATCCCATATGTCTCTGATCACTGAGGCTTTCCAGGGCTCCATGGTGCAAACTGGCTGCCTTCCTGGTAGAAACCCCACACTGTAAGTTTGGGTTTCAGCTTTCTCAGCTCTGCCATTTATCTGTCAGCAACTAAACTTTGATTGCAATCTCCCATATGCTTTTCCTCCTCTTCCATTCCTTCATCATTTTACTTTTTTATAATCTTTATTGCCATTTTAGTGGCTTTTCAGGAAAGAATGGAAATAAACACACGTTCAATCCCTATGTCTAACTAGAAGTCCTCTGCACTGGTGAATTTCAAACCTCTAAGCAGCAGCATCACACCCTTGACTTCAGGTGAAATACTATGCAGAATCACAATCCATAAAAAGAGCTTTGGAGGCCCAGTCGGCCCTTTCATGCTCTGGGCTTCTGCACCAAGGGCCTTGCTGTACACACCCTGAGCATCTCTGTTTCACACAAACCTTCTACTCCAGCAAAACCGCTCCATGCATCATTCCCTAAGCACATCTTTTACATTCTCACTGTCCTCCTGACCTGGACCCCCTTCCCCTTCTTATTGAAGTCCACCTCCAGCCTTTCCCAAAGACCAAGCCTGATCCCTCTGTGAGGGTTCCTCAATACCATGCTCTAAGGTGATCACTGTCCCTGCTCACCCCTGGTCTGAGAACCACCTAAGAGTGACTACACAGCAAATGACCACATCCATCCTTAACTACCAGGTCCAATGCTTCTTGCTCCTGGATGAAATGACTGGTCTTCATCCAAGTGTCCCATGGGTGGGACAGAAGCATGTGGCCATGACCAAGTAAATCCTCTGACTCAGCCTTGCTCTGGGATGACTAGGTCTGCTGAGACAATGGCTCCACCTGTAGTTTCAAGATTGCTCTCCCCATGGCAATACTTCCCTGGGGCGGAACTTCTCTCATTAGTTAGGGATGCAAGCTTGAGCACTCTGTTCTCTCTGGGTTCCCTACTACACAGCAGAACTAAGTGCCAGAGGCTCAACGGTCTGGGCTTGAAACTCAGGAAGAACTAATAGCGCTGAGCCACCTCCCAATACAACATTAAAACTAGCCTGGAAATAAGGAAACTGGATCGTATCCCACCTCAGTACTTGAAGAAGAGTAAATCCTCAGCCTATCCTAGAAGACACCATTAAATATCTTCAATTAGATTCCATCCAAATGTTCATCAGGTCAAGGCCTACATAACTTATAGACCAGAGAGGTTAAGAGGCAAGAAACCAGCACGCTTAACAGAGTTGTCACTGCTTTTAAATACATGTGCTGTAAATACACAAAGTACAAGTGCGCAACACATCCAGTTAAAAGTCAGTGATTAATTTTGTGAGGCAGCTGGAGAAATCTGACTACTGACTGGGTATTTGATGGTGGTAGGTAAATACTGTTAAATACTGTTAACTGTTAATATAGTAGGTGTACTTTTAATAAGAGAACATTTTTTAGAAATATACTGAAATATGGATAAAATGATACGATGTCTGGGTTTTTTGTTTCAAAATAATCTGTGATGGGGTCGGGGAGGGATGAGCGAGGATTACAGAGCAGGAGTTGGCAAATTTCTTCTACAAAAGGCCACAAGGTAAATATTTTAGGTTTTGCAGGCTATAGTCGCTGTCACAATTACTCAGCTCTGCCAGTGAGCACACCAGCGGCTATGGACAACAACTAAACAAGTAAGAGTGGCTGTGTTCCAATAAAACTTTATTTACAAAAGCAGGTGGAGGGCTGGATTTTGTCCAGAGGCCCACAGTTTGCCAACTCCTGGTACACATGACACAAGAGTGGCCATGAGTTGGTAATTATTGAAGCTAAGTGTTGAGTGTGGGAGCAGTCTCTCTACTTTGCACATATTTGAAAATGGCAATATGAAAACTTCTATAATTTCCATATATTAAAAAATGTTTAATTTTTTTCTAAGGAGTCAATGTTTAACTCTGTTAAGTTCTCTGGACTTAAAGTCAAAGGAGAAAACAGAGTGAGAGCTCATGACGACGGAGTATGAGTCTGAGTTCCAGAACGGTAAGGGAAGGAAAGGAAAACACAAGTATTCAGCTGGAAAACTGAAACTAAAAGCAGCCCGTCCATGGAAACTGGTAGGACCGGAAGGCGAGGTGGTATTTGCCTGGCACATGTCTGACGGTGAACACACAGAGCACAGGGGTTCTCCCGCGACGCCCCACCTCCAACATCCTCTCCCACCACGAGCTCAGGACGGGGAAGTAAGTGTTCCTATTTTCTGCAGGAGCTTTCATGGCTGCTCTACGTGGGAGGTGGGTGATTCTTTCCTGAGAGCTGAATACATTCCCTTTTGAAAGCTCTCAGGACTGGGAGACACATGTGGAAAGAACTTTCTGTCCCTGGCAGACAGGGAACCAAACCCCTTCTCCTTGAACTTGGACAGTCTTCCCTCACTTGGAAGCCTTACTCATCCTCTGGCTTTGGAGAACTGAGTTGCACTCTCACAAAGCCCAGCTGAACGAGGAGTATGCTATCTTCAGGGGCTGGTTGGACACCGGGCGCTCTGAAATGCATCAACACCCTTTCCACCTTGGCTTCCTCATGCTCTGTTCCTCTATAGAGATGCTCTAAACATCCTAGTACGTCATAAGAAATGAGAGCAGAACTAAGGTAAGTGAGTAGGAAAAGCAATTAAGTAACCCAGGAGAAATGTCCCTATACTTTGCTACCTCTGCAGAAAGAGACTGAAAACCAGGCCCTACAGGAGATCTCTGTAGGTGAAACGACTGAGGCCACTGAGACACCAGTGACCCAGGAGGCCTCCGCAGCCCTCCTCCTCCAGAACCCAACAGCCATGCAGGCTGTGAATACCACTTAATAAAGCCCATGGCCAACACAGTGCATGTGGGGAGAAGGGAAAGTAGAAAAAGAGGGGAAAGATGTAGAAGGGGATGACTGTGGGAGGAGGGAGAGAGAAAGGAAGAGAGTGGGGGGAAAATAGAGAGATGACCATGGCAGCCAGTGGCAGAGAAGCCGATGGGGGGCTCCTGGTGTCAGTTTTAGAGCCTCAGGTCTCATTGGGCCAAGCCTTACCCTGGAGGAAGAGGCCGCTCCCAGGTGGTGGTCTTGGTATTGTGGTCCACATAATAGACACGCCCGTTGGGGAGTTCTCGCTGCTCCCATCTGCAAAATCAAGTCAAGGGAAGCATGAGACACACAATAGAATAGAAAGGCCTAAGCCCTTGCTCAAAGGAGTCCTTCACTAGTGATGTGGCTAATCTGACAGGAAACGTCCAAGACCACATGCACGACCAACCCTCAGGGAAGACCAGCTCCACACTGTCACTGACGGTGGCAACCACAGCTGCTTCTTCAGAAAACTAGAACAGCTCCTCTTTACGGACTCAGTGTACTAGGCAGCCCAGAGATTGCAGTAAATTCCCATAAACGATCCATATGAATCTACATTCTGTGGATTTTTCTGAATCAGTGTTTCTTGGACATTTCAGGATCAAAGATCCCTTTAGGGATGTGATAAGAGCTGAAGGCTCTTTCCTTCCAAAACATATTTACCAACAAAAACGTGTGCACAATTTCTGGGATCCACGGACCTCTCCTAAAGCTCACCTATGGACTTTATAATGATCACCATTTTATAAAGGATGTTAATGGTTCTGTGACCTTTCATGTTTTACTTTGAGTTTATTTTCTTCTACTTTTGGGTACTGCCTGGAGGAAGGTGACCTTTTCCAGGAAGCTAGTACAATCAGTTCTGCTGAAATGCTTGTTTAGAAAACATAAATCTATTCCAATGTGATTGATACGTAAGAGAGCAACGTGAGCATAGTGTGAATTGGGTGTTTGTTTATGTATGATTTTGCCTTTGCAAAACACTAGATGAACACAGAAGGCTTCCCTCGGCTGAACCGAGTCATGCAGGAATACACAAAACCACACACGTCTACCAACTGCCTCACTTTACTGTGTGTCATACACCATATGCATCCACATCAGGTATTACAACCCCCGTCTGATTCCAGAAAACCCTCCTTGTACTACTTCACGACAACACCCACAAGCTCCAACCCTTCTGACACCTGCTTGACAAGCAAACGTCAGGTCTTCTCATGGAAACACATAATATTTATTGTGGTGTTATGATCTCAACTATTTACCATGTGTCAAACTGTGCGACCATTGTTATTAGGTTCCTATTTTTGTGTGTGTCACTAACAAATTTTTGAATGTTATGCCCCAACCCATTTTTTTCCGGTAAGCCCTGTGGTTTTTATCGCATAATTTGGGATAGCATGGTGATTTCTGGGAACACACATGTTACAGCAGAGTTAACGCTATACCAAAAGAAATGTCCTAGCTCCTATTACCAAGCCTGGTGTGTCTACTCTGACAGGCATCAGCTTTATTCAATACCACTTCACAGGTCTAATCAGCAGATTGCACTGATGAGCCCCTCCAAGGCTAATTCAGATACAGATATACATGAGGTTTTTAAGGCAAAGACAAGAAGCAGGTAACCATCGCCCACTGAGCATCCACAATGAGCTACAGTCTCATGTTTTACCTAAATCAGTCCCTGCCTCCATCCTTTAAGGTGGGACATGAGGGCACTGAGGCTCAGAGAAGCTATGTAACTTACGTGGCATTCCAACTCAGCTCTGACTCTCTAGACCATGAGTTTTACCATGTCATGCTGAAAGGAGTAACAGGAAGGTCAACTGGAACTTATAAGGAACCACTGTGCAGTGGACTAGGTGTGAGGTGCCTTTCCGATGCCACCTCCATGTAAACAGCTTTCCCTAGCAAAGAGTCTAGATAGGGGGCCCTGCAGGCTCAAGAAGACTGAGGAGGAATTATCATGAGTTCACCTTGTTAATTTCTAGGCTCCGTTTTAATCATGACCCTCTACTCAGATACGACCATGGGAAGAGAGTTCATATTTTGCCTCACTGGGAGGCTTAGCCCTGGAAACTGTGAGGTCTGGCAGTTCCACACCCCCACTTCTCAAAATGGATCAACTACTGGGTTGAGGATCCAAGTGCTACAAACACCATTAAAATGTGCTTGACGACATCTTTTCTCCTGGGAATTCCTGCTCAAGGTTCTGGTTGAAGTGGATACTGGTGACTTTCCCAGGTGCCCTGGTTCCACACAATACAAAAGGAAGATCCTTGCACTTCATTCAGTCTTTTATTAAAAGGGCAGAATCTTCACATAAAACTGACCAGATGAAAATACACACAGAGTAAAGTTAAAGATCTCTCTCTTAATACCATTCTGAATTAAAGACAAAACAATAACAAATATTGCCAAATAACAAATACCAGTGCCTGGTATCCCATCTGTGGGGCTCTGGTGGGGACTTTTCAGCAAAAAAAGTCTGGCTAACATACTGTGACTTCACACCAGCTCTCTAAATTCCTCCTGTCTGCTAGCTAATCCAGCAGCAAATCCAATACCCTCTTTCTTCATCTGAATTTGGAAATAAGAAAAAGTCTTGAGAAAGATACTTGGCTTAAGGGTAGGTACTGAAATGTGGAAGCTCCTCAAGGCAAGGGTAGCAAACCACTCTTTCATAACATTTGCTCCTAATAAGACTTAAGTAGCTGAGAATTCCTCAGCATTTCCTAAGAAGTTCACTATATCCTTCCTGTCCTTGGCAATTTCATGGCACAAAAGCACCAATAAAACAAGTTTGCTCATTTTGCAGTCGCTATTTGGGAAAACCATCCATAATCCGTGGGTGGGGCTGCCTCTTGAATAAAGACAAAATATTTGTTGTTGCAACTGGAGAGAAAAGGCGCCTAAAACACATTTTTCTTTCTTCCAACAATTGTTTTGTTATGCCTTTCATCTCATTAGTCTCAACTTTTGACTTCTTTTATAGTTCATTTGAGGCAAGGAGAGAACTTTGGTTTGGTTATACTTTGGCTAATATTTTCATCTGAAGATGGGATAATTCTTAAAATTCCATGAAGGAAATGCCTTTAATGGACACAGTGGTATCCCTACACTGCCAGAAAGGAAGTCGGTGTGAAGTCCCCTTTGCTTATATTCACAAGTTATGGCAGCTCTTCCCAAGCCTAGACAAGACCTGTGTATCCGATTTTTGATCCCAGCTGATCCTAGAAATGAAAGGCTCTCTTTCGGGGACTGTCATTGTCCGGCAAATCTCAGTGTCCTTCTATGAACCTTCTCAATTGGCTTAGCTAGAAAAAGAGTTACCAGAGGAATAAGACCTTTCTTCCATTACCTTTTTTTTTTTTGATATCTACATTTTTCCTTTTAAAATTGGACTCCTGCTTGGATTAAATGTCCATGTGGGTCCTCCCTGATCCGTGACCTGGCCTAGCTGCTTTTCTTAGAGAACTCTCAACTCCTCCCTACCTGCACGACTCCTCAGAATTCATACAAATCCCTCCCCTCCGTTTGTACAGCAGAGTTGGTCAATTCTATCGTCAATCAAAAGAGCCTCCCGATTCTCATTTCTCCTCAGTACCTGCTGACCCACAAAGATTAAGCCTTCTGACTGTCTTGGTTTGGTCTCCCCATGCCAAGAAAGCGATACTGGCAGCGACCTTTCATCAGCACATCCCTGGCAGGGGTTAGGTTTCTGAACCTCATAAGCATCTTCTTCACGCTGAGATTAAAAGGCTTTTCAATCAAACTACCCATGGGTCTCAATACTGTATCCTGGTCACGTGGGTCATATCCTCTCCCACTGAATAGCTTTCTTTGATGCTCTCAGAAACAGTGTTCAAAGCATCAAGCTTGATTCAGGTCCCTTCCCAACACATTGCTCCTTGGCCTTCGATGCGTAACATTCAGTTGGACCATGGACTACACAGGGTCTTTATATTTGAAAGTACTTAAAAAGCAGTCTCCAATTTCAATTAATCTCTGTACCTTTTTTTTAACCTAAGCTCTCTTTGCTTCTATAGATTTTAACTACTCTTTATTCAGTTGTATGTCTCCCATGCCTATGCCCCAATCCCCCATCCACTGTCATAATCATTAAAAAAAAGCTAAAGGCTGAAAAAATCTCAATTCCATTATTAGGATGACATCCAATCATGTCTCTCCTATGTTATTTGAAAGGAAACAGTCTGTTCACATGAACCATATTTTCTTGCAGGAAGTTACTTAACATTTACTCAAAAATTCTTAGAACATTATTAACTTGTATTATTGATAATTTGCTAATACATTTTATTAAGACAAGCACTGGGTATTAGTAAAGTTGACTCTCATTCAAAATACACTCTCTCCATCAGAAAACAAAGTCACGCCAGAACACTTATGCACCCCCAAAGAAAAGATGCCTTGATGGCTACTTAGACAAAAACTAAACTTCGGAAAACTACACTGAAAGTATTCAGGTATTCTTAAAGCTGCCCATGTAGAAGTTCAACTCTCCTCATGCAAATATTATATGGAATTTGTATTTTCTTATTTTATGCTTCTGTAATAAATTGACTCAATCAAATCCTATTCCCCAAGCTCTGGCCACTTCCCGGGTAAACCGTAAGATTTATTTCCTCTCTAGAAACACTGTCAGACTGTTTTATGAGTCAGAAATCTGTGTGCAATGAAACACATTTCCTACTCTGTTTTCACTGCTTCAGTAGGTCCTCTGTAGACTGGGTAAGAAATGTGTTAAACTCAGACCTTCCCCCAAGAATCCTTCTTGAAATACTGAGCTTTCCTTTAAATCTAAGCACACTAACCCTCTTTTTTAAAACTATCAATAACCAGCACTTTTTGCCCTTTAAGCACAGGGTGGCACAGTGGTAGCTAGAAGGACTCTGAATTAAGGTCTGTTTTTTCCTTCTCCTGTTTTTCAACCATCCCATTTTCTTTGCCTTGGAAAAGTCCCCAGAGCTCTTCAATGGAAGATGGCAACATAAAAAGATAGATTTTCACTGACAAGCAAGACAACTTCTGGAGATGGTGTGTATTTAAAAAAAAAAAAAATTAACATTTTTGCAGACCAAAAAATTTGCAGGTAATTTTGGCAACGTAGCAAAATAGTCACTCTTAAAAAATAGTGGGTGGAAGCAAAACTGGGTGTACTCTTTCCAAAGGGCAAATTATTTTTGGGTGGGGCTATTCAAAAAAAAATTTTTTTTTTAATGGCAGTCTAGGTGATCTACAATGTTTTAGGT